CCAACATCCGTTGATGGAACATTTGAATTATTTGCAGCTTGTTTTTCTTTTTTCTTACGTTTAAGTTTATCCTATGAACATTAAACTCAATGTAGAAACAAGTTCAAAGTACAAAATAAAAAAATAAATCAATTTTAATACATACAATGCTACTAGACATGATTTGATAAATGTATCAGATGGAATCTCAAACTACAATATAAACAAGAAAAATCATAGAAACAAAAGAATGTTATGTGACTAAGCCTAAACAAGTGCGTAATAGGGAGCTTCTCACATATATATGTTGTGTGTAGTGGATGCGTAACAAAATTGCTTTATACAAATGATGACTCATCACTATTCACTTATGTTTTATCCAATAGGCGCCAATTATTTTTATTCTTATATATCTTGTCATCTAGTGACCTCTTTTCTTCATTCTGTCGTATAATTTCGAAAAGAAAATTGTCTATCCAAATCTTTTGTATTTTCTTAATTGAAATAGAAAAAAAAAGGAAATTATCTTTATTAAAGTCAACGTTCTTGAATTGAATACATGATTTATAGAATCATTTCACACAATATCTAAAATACTTCATTGTTGGACAAAATATTATTTGCAAACTTAATCTACAACGATTTCAATCTTTTTATATACTTTGATAGTTATTATTAAACTATATATGACAAAATTTTAATAAAGTATACTGTCGGAGAGTAAACGATATCATCTAAACAAAAGTCAAGAATTTTGTCAAAAACGATATTATTCTAATTATACATGAAAATGTATTCATTTAAGAATGAACATTGTCAATAGTTATGAACAGAACAACAAAATATTATTTTTTGATCAAAACTAATCATATGCTCAACTATCGAAAACGATAATTAAAGTCACTGATAGATGGTCAACAACGTTAATATATACTATCGTTTCATATAGTTTGTCATCGTAACTAACTATTAATTGACGCTTGATAGGCGTACCATAATGACCTTTTATTTATTTTGTCGTACATAATTAATAACGAACGTCAAACAGTATAATAATCGAGTAGTCGACCGTTTACCATATGGTAAAACGTAGTTGTAATATAGTGCCTACCAAAAAAAAAAAGGGAAAAAAAATCTAAAATAGTTGTTTGCGACTGTGCTTATTTGTCTTAGAAACCTTTCAAGAATCTATTTCGTCTAATGAATTTTCAAAGTTTAATATAATTTATAGAAAAATTTTAGAGATTCAAAGAAATCTTCAAGTCTCTATAGATGTGTATAAGTAAAATAGAGCGATGACGACAATATCTATCATCATCTTTTTTCAATTAATGTTCATCATCATCAAAAAAAATTAATTGTAAAATAATTAGCATAAGTATCTCATAGACGAAAATTTATAGATAATTTTATTCTTTTTCATAATTAAATTATCTCAATATTTATTTAAGAAAAAAAAAAAAGTGTTAAGTAATATGATAAAGAGATGTCACTCACTGTTCCAGAATCATGTTTTAATCAATCGAGTGTGTGTGTGAGTAGTCTAGAATAAATATGATTGCATGTTTTTATATCCTATAAAAAGGTGAATAACTATGAATGACTGATTGATTTTCAATTCAACACAACACCTACTTTCACTCTCTCTCTCTCATTCTATTTGTTCACTTGTATGGATGCATTCAAGGTTAACATTAGCATTGTATATTTGAAATATAGTGTCGTATATGTAGTCACTCATCGTTAGGATCTTTAACATTGATATATTATCAATGATAAAAATGGACGAAATCATTGTTTATTCGAATAGTCGTAATGGACTTGGAATACGAATTTTAGGTGCTAAACGAGCTACAAATACATCAGGTATTTATATTAAACAATTACTTAATGATGGATTAGCACAAAGAGATGGACGATTAAAAGTAAATTAATTTAAAAAAAAAAGAAACATTTAATATGATTGATATATATATATATAGGTTGGTGATCAAATATTATCGATAAATGATGAAACATCTATAGGTATTAATCGTAAACAAGCTGTTAATATTCTTCGTTCAGCAGCCTCAACAAATCAAGTTCGTCTTCATGTTCAACATTTTATTCCATCTTTATCATCAAGTGAATATCAACAATTATTATATGATGAAAAATCAACTGATGATGATAATGATAATAATAATATTCATCAAATTGTTAATTATAATGTAAATAAAACTGATTTTCATAATAGAAGTCTAACAACGGAAAATGAAGTTCGAATGAGACGTTCATCTAGAAAATATCATCAAGAACAACATCGACATAGTGTAGTAAATTTATCATTTAAAAATAAAAATGATTATAAAGAACAAATTACAAATGATCAAATATTAAGCGGACTTGATGTTTCACATGATGCTCTTCAATCATTACTTAATTCAAGATTTAAATTAATAGATCTTGTTGATTTACTTAAGAAAATCTATCCGAAATTATTATTCAATGATCAAAAACAAGAATTATTATTTATTCAACAATTATCTCAAACAACTTCAGGTAAAATTTAACTCATTTATATATTAAGTTACGTTTTATTATTTAATCTTATCATTTTGTTAACTGAAGACATTGAACAAACTTTTGTTAGATTTCATCCAAGCATAAATTAAAATAGATTTTTCCAGTAGAGTACTGCGGAACAGTTCCGAATCTCGAAAGAAAGATTTTTCAGACGGGACAAACGGTATCGGAACACGAGAAAGTTTATCCCACAGATCTCTATTTTCCAGCGTATACCTGATATTATGATAAAACAATTGAATAATGTTAGTCTGACATATATATTTGTCTATTTGAATATGATAAATATTTAATGAACAAAAAAACAAAATTATATTTTTTGTTTAATTTTCTAGATGATCGAATAACTTTAAAAGATTTTGAACGACAATCAAGTGTTATTCTTGGTGAACATATAAATCTTTTATTACCATTTTATAGTTCATCAAAGCGAAGTTCAACAAGAAATAATAATAATAATAATAAACATGTTGTTGAACTTCATCGTGAAATAGCTTTATTTCGTTCTAAAATTAATGAACTTAAAACAAAGATAATAAATTGTGAAAAATCACAACGTTTATCTGAACAAGTTGAAATTGAATATGAAGATTTACTTAAATTTATTTATGAACAATTAAATCAATATAAATTAAATGAACAAAATCAATTAAAACAAATACGAGAAAATCAACAATTAATTGAAAAATTATTTAATTATTTATCTATTTATATTAATAAATCAAGAGATCAACATATTTTATCACAACTTAAACATGAATATGAACAGCAACAAACATTTTTACCATCATCTTATCAACAAAATAATTATGAAACAAATATTTTATCAAATAAAACACATCAACAACGCATTTAAATTTCAGTTAGATATTATTTCTACTTAATGATTTTGTTTTTTGTTTTTGTTGTCATATAGAAATAATCATTTGTTTTTATGTTCGTTGCATATCGATGCAGATAAAAAGAGTATCAAACAAATAAGGAGATTTATATTAAAAAACTTCAAGTTGTTAATAAACGTTTAGTGAATTCATTTCAATTGTATTATTCATTACACTAACGTATTTAATGTCTCATCATATGAATAATCTCATATAAACTTATGAGCAAGCGAGTGTCAGAGAGGTGGCATTCACGTATAATTATAAATTGTTCTTGATTTTAACTGACTTTTATGGTGAAAATATTTGCTTTTAAATAATCATCATAAGCACATTTATATTTGAGAAAAAACAAGTGGTTAAGAAATATAGTGAAATTCATGAAACAACGATTTTCTTTCACAAGAAAACGACAAATTGTCTGTCAACGAAACAAATTCGTTTCTTGAAATAATAAAAGTTTCATTAACATAATTAATTTATAAAAATTTAAACTTCATTTTATGGAGTATTTTTTATTATTGGTTTTTTTCTGGATGTATCTTTTGTCTATTTTAGTATTCACTTTTTCTATCGTTATAGAGTACAAACTATGTGCGGTTGATAAAAATAATATTTATGCAGACCATACAACTGAGATTTTGTTGTTATTTGAAATATATATATATATATATCACCCGAATGAAGAATTTATTTATATCATGCTTAGTGACACTTTAGTATCAACTTGATAAATAAAGAACCATGACAATTTAATTCGATCTTGCTATATATAGGCATGTAATGAACTCGAGCTATTTGGACTCTTTGTTGGTTTTCATCTCTCAAAGAAATAGCTTAGGTATTGCTTTCTTTCATGCATTATAATCAAATCACTTATGACTATTTCAGCATAGTAACGGTCAGAACATCTAATGATTAACCATTTTTCTAAAACTTAGCTCTATGATTATTAACGCACCTACTAGTTAGATTTCTTTACAATCTATATGAGAAGAATCTATTGGCTTGAAAGATCAGTTCTGCACGTTTTCTTTTTGTTGTTTTAGGTAAATTTGAGGTCTTGTATCTCGTGATTGGGAAGCGTTTGAAGGTCTAAAATTTTCAGCATAGAGAGAAGTGATAAAGATTTATCTACACTAAAATTTTCAGAATATGTGGGAGTGTGGGTATGGTCATAACTTCTTCATCATCCAGACGTCCCACACCCTAACCACTGACAGGTTGATGTGATGGCGAAGTGTGGCAATAACCAGACCAAATATTTTGATTCTGTCCCGCTACTGAACAACACTCTAAAGATTATGCACGACTATGACTTATGAGAGTTGAACATATAACACAAACAAAGTTCATCAATTATATACTGATGCCATCTATCTATATTAATATAGAATTTGTTTATTTGAAAGTACACTACATCGAAACGAAAACTTTTAAAAACAAATCTTAATTTTTTGATTTCTAATATTTTTTTTAATGAAGAAAAATAAAATTCTTAACGAAGGGTAATTCCATAGATAAGTAACATTTAATGGATATAAGCTCATTCATATATATTGAAAACATTAAAAAATGGTACTTCCAACATTGCATTCTCATTCTGAAACTAAACATCTAACAACTCCACAACAGATAAGTCACAGAGGACAAGAAATTAAAACGGAAAAAAAGTAAAAATTCTATCATATGTTCAAGCATTCTTATGGTTGTTCTCTTTAGTGTTGAAAAGCCTCAAACAACCAACACTATCAATGCACAAACTCGTTATAATTCTGTACATAGTAAATTGGCATCACCTATATCGGGTACATTAAGGTAAAATAATGTTGATTTATTTCTTTTATATTATTAATATATGTTTAAAGTGATGATGCACTTCGTATTGAACAAGAAAAACAAGAAAAATTAAATCGTCTTCAACAACGTCGAACTCATCTATCAGCTATTTTAGAAGCTGAAAAAATCAAACATCAGGTTTGCATTTTCTTTTAATAAAATAATAAAAAAAAAAAAAAATTATTTTTTCTAAATAATTAAGAATGAATTAACATCAATTCGTCAATCATCACGGGAATCCATGCCTTATTTGAAAATTGGTGATGATTCTCTTCATTCAACTCGTGAAACACAACGACAAGAAGTTACTGATGAAAAAATGAATAAACAATCGATAGTAAACAATCCTAGTTTATATTCAATAGAACAAAATAAACTAGAAAATTCACAACCTGAATATTGGTCAGAACAATATAATGAGAGATATTTAGTACAAGAAGAAGAAGAACGAGGAGAAAATAAAAGAACAAATAGAATTCAGCAATTGAAAATTATTTTACAAGAAAAAATGGATGAACTCAAACAAAAAGAAGAAGAGGTTTTGTTTTATATTTATTGACTGTTTATAGAATTTTTCAATTATTTAAATTTAGACGGAAATATTAAAACAAGAAGAAGAACATCTTTTTAGAGAACAATCTGAATTAGATCAATATGAAGAAGAAAGAAAACAAATGGAAAAATGTCATATTCAAAAAGATGATGGGTATTTTTTTTTTATTTCAATACTTTCTAGTCTAGTGTTACATCTACAGATAATTAGACGTTTTTGAGAGGAGTGTAAACGAATATACAACTGATGATTAAAGTCTTTTTTTTTAAATTGAAGTGCAACATCAACTTAGTTTAGTGATTCAAAGGTAAGAGAAGATGACGATTATATATATATAAATTGTTCAACTTCAACAATTTAGATGATAGACTAAAAATAATTATTTAAATAGATTAGTTGATAGAAATAGAAATTTTCTAAAGTTTATAAAATCAAAACTACTATACTTATTAATGACAATGATGAAAACAGTGATAAGAACTTTGTCTTAATATTCAATTCTATATGCATCTCTCTTCATAATATCCGGCAAAAACTTCAATAGGAAACTTATTATCAAAAGATTTATCTTCTTTAAAGACGATCTTGAATAAATATATTTACTAAGAAATTTCACAACCTGCTTGTTCAATTGATATAAGAGACAAAATTACCTATAAAACAGTACTGTAGTATTGACCAAAACTCTTGACACCGACCTCATTCACCGTTATTCTAAGAGATAGACACATGAAACTTTGCGTGGATATTGTGTGTAAAAAATGACAATCAACAGTACCATTCGCACTGACTTTGATCGAGTTACAACAGAGTTCTAAAAAGTAGTAGTCATGTTTCCTGTGAAGCTTATAAATAATGAGTGTCACAAATAACATGACTACTACCTTCTAAAACTCTGACTATATCTACAGAATATTTCTCATTTCTATCTTTGATAACAACTCCGAAGAACGTGATGACGCAACGTTTGAATAATCATATAAAATAGTTTTTCCAAGTACATTCTAGAATTAAGATTTAACACTGAATGATCTCTCGTGAAATAAAATTTCGTAGTTAAATGTTACTTTTGGTATCATATCAATGATTGAATTGGTATATGGTTTCTTTTTTCAGACGTTTACTTGTTCGACAACATAAAGTTAAATTTCATAAACGATCAAAAGAAATCCAAGAACATTTGGTTTGTTATATATAATAATTTTTTTTACATTCAATATTCTTCGATATTTAATTGTTAGGAATTAGATATGAAAATTCTTGCATCAATCGCTCATGTTGATAAGGAAACTTGTCTAGAACAATCGGAGCAACGAGAATCATTAAGACGAAATGCTTTTAAAATGTTAAAACAGTTTCAACAACAAATGAAATTAGAGAAAGATAAAGAGCAAGAACTTGATGGAATGTTTCCGTAAGTTTCTTTTAAAAAAAAAAAAAAAGAAGAAATATATTATATTAATATTGTTATTTTAAAGAGAAGAAATTACTAAGCAATGGTTTCGTCGTGAACAAGAATGGAATCGTGAAAAAGAATTACGTGAAAAATTAATTCATCAAATTCTAGATGAAAGACAAAAACAAATTATGGACAAATTACATACATTAAAGGAACAAAAACAAGAAATATATGAAAGACGACGAGCACTTATTGATGATATGCAACAAGCAAGAAAATATGATTTAATTGAAAAACAAAAACAAGCCAAAGAAAAAGAAGAAAAAAACCAAGATTCATCAAGACAAGTATTCATTCATTGTTTTCTTAATTAAATTAGTACTTGAAACTAATTTTGTTTTTTTTTTGAAGATATCAATTATACAACAAGAACGAACACAATCTCGATTAGAATTAGAAAAACAGGATGCTTTAGAATTTGAAAATAAAAAAGCAATACATAATTTAGTAGAAAAATCACAATCATCTATTACTTCTACAAATGTTGAACCTAAAGTATTTTATTATTATTAATTATGTATTTTTTATGAGATTTTTTTTTTATTCATTTAGTTTTATGGTCGTCGTCGAATTAATTGGAATTAGTCAACACTTTTTTCTTTTTCATGTTTTTGTAAATTTTATGAATAAATATGTGTTAAATCTAAACATTATTTTATATTTATTAATTTAATAGTTTTAATATTGAAAGAAAAAAGTTGAGAAAAGACGAATGTTTAATACTAAGATAAAGAATATCTTTTTAATAAACAGAAAATCATTTGATCTATTGACTATTGCGTTACTCAAAAAAAGTAGTATCAAGATAAAGAATGACAATCTTTTTTTTTATCGTAGTTATTATCATTATTCACGAAAATGAGAAGAAAAACAACACTTCAGTTTGAAATTAATCATCTTATTGTATATAGAAAGTCAAGCAATTTATATTTTCAAGACAAATATTCTCAAATAATTAATAAATAAATGAATAATTCTAAATATCTCTAAAAAAATTTTGTTTTTTTTACTTTCTGCTACAATCTATTAAGATATTAAAGATACGATTAAGAGACACTCAATTTCATGCATACACTTATGCAAATGTTATCTTTTATTATGATTCATAGCACACCTTATAAAGATGTATGTTTTCTTTTTATCAAATATCTTTTAAAATATGCAACTAATGTTTCTTCCGATAGTTAGTCTTGTTATTTTCACTATTATTTCTTTGATTAATGGTCAATGTACACAATCTCAATGTACTGCACAACAAGCAGGTTCAACATGTTGTTTTGAAATTGGTTGTTGTCCAGCTATAAATAATGTTTGTTGTTCGAATGATCGAACAAGTTGTTGTTCAACTCAATATCCAGTGTGTTGTGGTGGTGGAAAAGGTTGTTGTCCTCGAGAATATCCAGTATGTTGTTCTACTTATTGTTGTTCATCTGGTTCGTATTGTTGCGGAAAAAAATGTTGTAGACGAAATCGATCAACAGCTCATTTCATTGAAATATATGGAGGAATATCAAAAATGAATCAATATCAACAATTAATGATGAATTTATATCATTTGTAGAAAAAAATTTTTTTTTTGTAACGTCTTACTTTTCTGTTTCAGCAAATATTCTTATAATATATGTCAAATGAAAGGTAACGATAGATTTCATTGTAAAAGTGATTTGATTTGTCAATTTTAAGAAAACTCTTAATAATTATATATTGTTTGAGAGGTAATTAATTTTACTATTTACTTGTCCAATAACAATGACTGATGTAATCTCTACTGATGTTTGTTACCGTTCGATAAAGAATTAAATTCAGTATGTGACTTAAGATATTAGAAAACAAACATAAGTTTCAAAGGAAATTGGAAGAATAAAAGCTCGAATCTGGTACTAAATTCACTTCCGTTAGCTTTGTTCATTTCAGAAGAATTTTTTGTCATTTATCAGTTGAAGTGATATTTGTCTATAAATCATATTTGAATCGACCTATAATTTTAGACATGAAGTAGTTGACACAGTTTGCATTAATTGTTAATTTTCCTTTGACATAAAGAGTAAATCATTCATTTTTTTTACCGGTACAAAACACTATATAGATGAAGGAACCTACTAAAAAGTAGGTGATACCGTGGATATCGAAAAATAGCTAGAAACTATTTAATAATATAGTAATTCTTTCATATTTAATATCACTATATATATATGGTTATGGTTTGGTTTTGAGATATTTTCTTTAGTTTAAGTTAAAAAGTTTACCTCTGATTTTCCTAAAACTGATGTGTATATTGATAAAAAAAACTATGATAGACAATATAAATCTGATGATGAGCGATGTTAAACAATCTGAAATAACTGAAAAACATGTTTTTTTTAAATAAATAAGATATCTTTCGTCATTGGAAAATATATTCTACGAATAATGATATTCCGAATTGATAAAAAATTCTTTCTGAATACTTTTTTTTTTTATTCTCTATATCTATAAACATTTTTCATTAGTGTAAACCAAACATTTGAAACAATTCTTTCAATTTTCTATTTAATTTTTGCAGAATTATAGAGGATTAAGCTTCCACGTTGTACGTTCAGTCGCATTAATGGAAGCGCATCGTCAAATTTATTTGAATCACATTAGATAATATTGATAATTGACATTTAAAGTAACATTATAGAATTGAACATCGACATTGTTCTAATGTTACAATAAAATTTGATATGCAATGAAAATGCAACTAAAAGCTATTTTTTTGTAAAATAAATGTTCATTGATTTTTCAATACTATTTCCTGTGTGTCAGTTACAATTTTAATTTGGAGTATCTAAATGAAGTTAACTCTGACAGAGAACTGATGGATTATAAAAGCATATACTATGATTAAAGAATGATGCAAAATTATTGAAATCATTATATTTGAAAAATAATAATCAATTTTAAATGATAACAATCAAAATTGTTGACATTAAGTTTTAAAATAAAAAAAATATCTTGTGTAAATAAATATTGTTGAATATACATATATAAATATGTATAGTTTTTCAATATTAATAATGCTAATCTATTTATTGACAATAAAGTCAGCGAAGAAATTTTTAAAAACAATTTTTATTTATTTTATAAGTTTACTTATCCTAATTTTGTCAGACGAAAGATCAGTTCAAATATTTTTTTTTTTCTCTATGCAGAATGTAAATCACCAAAGACAAAAAAGTAAAAACAAATTTACATGAACACATTCACACACTAATATTTGTTATAAATCTAATTTAATGTTCAAGTTTTTTTGATACATTAGCTTCATGCATCAATCGAATTATATCTTTTCGAGTTAAAATACCATGAAGACGACTAAATATATATATATATATATTTGATTATTTTGATAGTGAACAAACAAAAGATTATTTCTTACCCATTTTTTGTAACAAATATTTGTCGACAACCTAATTTTCTAAACATATCTACTACAGCTTCCATTGGTGTTTGATCTGTTACAATAATTGGTGCTCGATCAACTAATTTATGTAATTTTAAAATTTTTGATGATTGTAATGCTAATGATGCTCGACGCATTCCTAATGATGATGGTTGACCCGATTTATTTAATAAATTTGACATTGATACAACTGAAAATTTTCGATTTAATGAAGGTTTTGATTGTATTAGTGGTGATTGAGTTTTTCGTGATTTTAGTACGGCTAATAAATCACGTCGTTGAACTTGACCAACAATACAAGGAAAATCTTCACTTATTATAACAGGATAAATTGAATGTGGATGACGATGAAGAACTGTATGTATTTGAGCTATTGTCATACCATCTTGAACAATACATGCTAATGGAACTGTTTCATCAGAACGATTTGCACGCACTGCTTCACCAGCTTTTAGAGTAAATCGAAAGCTTTCACGGTTTTCTAAAATACAAATAAAAAAAATATTTATTTATTTTTTCTTATAATCGTTCTTTCTCATTACCTAAATATGGATAACCACTTAATTTAACATTCTCCTCATAAATTCCTTCACCAAATGCATCTCCAACCCATTTCGCTGCTAATGCTGTAACCATCAGTGGAACAATATAAGATAAACCACCTGTAACTTCACTCATAATAACAACAAGAGAAACAGTCATTCGGCTAACTCCACCTAAAAAAGCACATGCACCAACAACTGCATATAATCCAGGTGTAACACAATGTTCATTAGAAACACCACATTCATGTCTTAATATAGCTAAATGTTGATTTTTATATGCTATTTGTTCTGTTATAATACCAATAAGACGACCAGCAATAGCTCCTATTGAAATACTGGGTACGATTAAACCTGATGGAATTTTTGTACCAATGGTAAAAACAACAAGAGTTATTTGAACAATTAATGCCCAAAATAATTGCCAAATAGCACGATGTATACCAGGACCAGCAAGAGCAGCATATAATTTAGCTGTAGCTGTTCCAATGGGTTTATCACGTTCATAATCACTATAAAGATCCATTAGAAAAGAAAAAACATCGTATATATATATAATTATTACAAAGAATAAAAAACAAATTTACCATAAATCCATATGATCATCAACACCACATTGTCCAACTAATCGTCGGATTAATTCAGGCATTGTTAATCTTAAATAAAGATTTGGATAACAAATAATAGCTGTTATCAACGTTAAAATAATAACTTCTGCACGTGGATATTGTCCAATTCGACAAGTTTTTTTATATTTTAACCAACGTATATTTGTTTTTATAAATAATGTTCCCCATAAGCCTCCTAAAATTCCAAGACAAATAAATGGAACAACTTCAAATGTTGCCCATGGTACATTATATTCAACAGGAAATTGAATTTCATGTCCATTACCATATGGATTTATTGTACGTACAACAAGAGCACCAACCATACAACAAAAAAATGTTCGCCATAATGTTTTATATGGAAAATAATAACTTATTTCTTCTAAACCAAATAGAATACCACCAATAGGTGCACCAAATGCAACAGAAACACCTGTAGCAGCTGCTGCAGATAATATTTCACGTTTACGTGCTTCATTATGACCATATTTTGAAAAAAGTTCTAAAAAATATAAATAAAGTTAATAATTTATAAAATAAACAAAATTTCAACTTACTTGAAAAAAGATTTCCACAACAACAAGATATATGTACAAATGGACCTTCTTTTCCTACAATGAGACCTGCACTTGTTACAAATATCATACCAATACTTTTAATAAAAAATGTCCATTTGCCCAAATAACCATACATTATAAAACCTGATAGAATTGTTTTTATTTCAGGAATTCCTAAAATCATTATTATTTAGGTTTTCAATAATTATTCAATTATATATAATAATTTACAATAAGATTTACCTGATCCACTTGCATATGGAGCAGAACCAACAACAAGACAAACAATAAAAGAAGAATAAATAACAGACCAGAATATAAACATCAAATACCGGAAAAACCAAGCGCTAACAGATAATTCATTCATACCAAATATTGCAGACCAGGATTTCCACTTACAAAAACAAAAAAAATGTAATTAATTATGATTACTATTGAAAATTCTATAAATGACTTACATGTTCACATAATTCACTATGAACATCATCAAATTCCACATCTCTCGAACCCCAACAACATTGTTCTCGATTAAGCCAAAATGCTGGTGTACAAACACCAGTTCGCCAATGACTTAACCATTTTGCTCCAATGTCAACAAAACCAGCGACAAGACCTAGAATAAAATAAAAAGAAATGAATTATATCAAATAAATGCCAATTTACCAGCTGATACACCGACTAATAATACACAAATCCATCCACTCCATGCATCAAACCAAAATGTAAATCGTTGTCGCCAACCATCTCGTCTTTGTGCACGTAAATTACGATGACGAATACGATTTCGCATTAAATCTTTTAACCAATCAATAGTTTCGAAATTTTCATAATATTTATGAACAACATATGTCACATCAGTTACTATTAACAATTGAACAATGAATAAATAAATAAATAAATATAATTACAGATATTTTTATTAACCTTTTTCATCATATTGATTTTTTGATGAACTATTAACACCATGATTCGGATCAACAATTGTAACTGTAGTTGTAGTACCAGGTGCAACACTAGTAAGTTCAAGTTCTTCACCACTATCATCTTGATCAATACTTGATAAAATTCTTTCACTTTCATGATCAACTCCATCGTCCTCATCATCTTCAACACTTGGTACTGGTGAAAGATGAAGCCGTGGATAACTATCTGTTGACGTATCACCTGAAAATAAACATTCGTACGCTTCATTGCACTAAAAAAAATATAATACACATACGCTGCATTTTTCTTTCACTGACACTACCACCGCTACTAGTACCGCCAGTAGAGGATGCCATGTGTGTCAAAACAACACAAAGATGAAATAATAATTTGAGAACGAAAACGATGAGAAAAAAAAATGAGACTCTTTATTAAGTTCAAAGGGAAAAAAAAGCGTACTGCTTGACTGACTCTTTTCTTTGTATGAATCCTATGACTAGTGATGA